CATTTTAGTGAGCAAGTCCAATGCTATATATGTTGAGGTCCCCCAATATTTGTTTTTAATAACCTTATTTTTCCACCCTGGAGTTTTGAAGACTACATCCAAATAACTTGAATTTTTAACAAAATGTTCTTGCTTCTGTATTCCTTTTTCGCCAACTGTGAGCTGTTGTTGCTTTATAAAATGTCTTCAGAACTTAAAAAAGAAAACCTATTGACAATAAAAAAGGTAAAAAACCGTATTTAAAAAAAACGCTGATTGTTCGATGCACAGTACTTTAGCAAAGTACATGTCGTTGAGTTAGCATTTATCTTCAACAAAGAGGTGCTGGGATTCCTGCAGAAAGATGTCCTTGCCAAAGCGAGGCCAGCTCCACCTATCCTTGTTGTTGTTAATTTGATTGTATCATCGAGTATAATTTTTGTTAGAAACAAATAAAGTGGCATGATGCCTACATGGATTGTCAGCTGGTAACGCTACTTTCACACTGATCCATCGTAAAAAACACAGCAAAAACGCATAGGCGTTTTTACCACACTTTTTCCATGCTTTCTGAGCATTTTTAAAGGACGTGACTTAAAAACTGCACCAAAAAATGCTTCTCGGAGGCTTATTTCAGGCTTTTTTTAAGCATTTTCCATTGATTTCAATGGGAAGAGGCGTTTTTGGGGCGTTTTTATTTTTTTTTTAAACTCGCCAAACATGCCCCGAAGATGCTTCAAGCAAGAGTTTTTACACCGCACCGCAAGCGCAACACCTCAGTGTAAAAACATACATAGATATACGTTCATATACTTAGGGAAGCATTTTTTTTAGTTTTTTTTCAGGCGCTTTTTTTAACGCAAAAACGCTTCAAAAACTCCTCATTGTGAAAGTAGCCTAAATCACACCTTAATGCTAATCCTTTTTCTTTTCTAAATAGCTACAAAGATTTTGAAAGTTGGTCTAAAACTTTTTGATGCTTGCAAAACAGTAATAGTGTACATTTGTTGTTGCTTTGGGGTATTAAAAGGAATGCATGATTACATACCTCCCAGGAGTCCAGTCTGATTAGGCTTAATTTATGTGAAGCTTTGATTGTTTTATTTTTCTTCCAATATAAGGCTTTTAACTACATTTACTACTCGCTGTCCAGAGGATTTACCCCCTTTCCTGACCAGGCCATTTTTCGCACTACTGTGCTGCATTACTTTCACTTACAATTACGCGGTCATATAACGCTGCACCCAAATGACATTTAACGCCCTTTTTCCCCACGAATAGAGCTTTCTTTCGGTGGTATTTGATCGCATATGCGTTTTTTTTTATTTTTGGCACTATTTAAAAAAAAAAAAAAAAAAGACCGACAATTTTGAGAAAAAAACATTTTTTACTTTTTGCTAGTAAACATGTCCAGTAAAAAAAATTTAAAAATCAAATTTCGTCATACATTTAGGACAAAATGTAATCTGTTACATGTCTTTGCAACAAAAAAAAAAAATCCCAATACGTGTAACGTAATTGGTTTCCATGAAAGCTATAACGTTTATAAATGGCGGTACATATACTAGGATTTTTTTTTTTTTAACTAGTAATGGCAGTGATCAGCGACTGATAGTGGGACTGCGGCGGGGAACTGACTTGGTGTCACGGACATCCCCAGTGACACGAATACAGTGATCAGTGCTAATAAAAACACTGGCACTGTACTAATGGCATTGGGCTGGAAGGTGTTAACATCTGGGGCGATCAAAGGGTTAACTGTGTGCTATTTCACATTATGTGCTGTGTGTGCGCTTCACTGGAAGCACACTGCTTTGTATGGCTCTGCTATGCAGAACCATACAAAGCAGTGTGCAGGAGCTGACGGGAGAGAACTGTATTGTTTACATACAGTTCTCTCCCCCCGTCGGTAATACTTGGTGATCACCGGGTGACGGCGAGTAATCAACGGGCGGGACTTGGTGATTGACAGCCAAGGCCGCGAATGGCAGCGTGGGTAAGACACACGTGACTCGCACACGCCCCCTACCCGGAACTGCAAAATCACGTGTATATATACGTGATTTTGCGCACCCGTGCCGCCCTGTAGCAGTATTTCAGCTATAGGGCAGGCGGCAAGCCGTTAAATAATTTGTAGCAAGAGTACATTCTAAGTTGTCCTCTATCTATTGTTTTAGTAATACTTATATTTTTGAATGTGTAAACACCTATTGACAAATGATGTCTTCTTTTATATGTTTATATTAAAATAGCCCCTTTTATGAATGTTTTTATACAAAAAACTTATCCTAAATTTTTAGTCCAAATTACTTTGACATGTTCATCTATGCTGACTTAGCATTTTTAAAGGTCTTAAAAAAGTAACTTTTACTTGAATGCCAAAAAATCATAGCTTTCTCAAAATTTTTGTAGTGCAACAATGTTTTGACTTGCAGTACCTTTTGATTCATCTGAAGTAACGGTAGAAATGTGTTTTGCTTTTGCAGGAAAATGTAACATGGCTACAGTTCTTAATTGCAAGTTCATGTTATTCCTAATATAAAGTCAGAAGTGACATGACCTCCTAAATATGTGGGAGGCTTTGCAATCACTATTCTGAAATCTGACCAAATGATGTTTTTAACTGTTTGCAGGCACATCTACTTTCATGCAGGCATTGACTGCAAATGGTACCAGCAATATACAGACATCAGTGGCAGGAGTAACAGGAAAGAGGAGGTTTATTGATGAACGAAGAGAACAGTCCTTTGATAAAAGGCTACGTTTCAGTGTAAGACAAACTGAAAGTGCTTATCGATACAGAGACATTGTTGTGCGAAAACAGGATGGATTCACACATATATTACTTTCTACAAAGTCATCTGAACATAATTCCCTGAATCCAGAGGTTAGTTTCTATGCAATATGTAAAATAAAGTGGAATAGCTGAAAGTGATTTGCTCATGTGGTGGGGGTTTTTATTTTGTGTTTAAAGTAACATTTAAAACCTCAATTATAAAAAGTGGCCCTTTGGTTTGCTGCCCAAGTATGACAAAGCAATAGGGTTCATAACTTCTTCCTCCCCACCACTATATACTGTCCTTATTTTCACTCCCCCATGTAGCCATTGGGAGTGAAGTGAAATACCAGAAATTCTTGGTATGGGTGAGCTTGGGACTTACTGTCTTTCTCCCACTGGACTGAGCTGATGCCTGGAGATCGGCCCAACTCTCACTTTGTATTATGGCAGTACAGGTACCTACTGGACCTCCCAGGTGTGAATATAATTTCCCCATCTGCATCACAGGATTGGCTTAGCACTAGTTAGTGGCCTCACATGCCAGCAATTCTGAATAGGGGTGGCACAAATGACAGGAAGCCTGGTTGTTATTTACAGATCAGAGAATATTTCATTTTATGGAATCCCAGGTGCTGAATAGCTAAGGTGAACTGACACATAGGAACTATGAGTTGTTCACTATGCAGTAACGATATCGAAAGCCTCTTTGGGATCATCTCTACTGAGCAGAGAGCAAATGCTATTCATAAAGATATTTGGCACTATTTTCAGCATGCTCAAGTGACATGTGAGGGCAGCAACATTATGATCTATTTTGCCTAGAATAGGGATAACACAGATTAAATAGATTTTTTTTATATCTGCAGAATCCGCAGTTTGACATTTAAAGCTGACCCCAGTCAAACATTTAAATACACAGTTGAAATGCATATACTTTGCATTACTTGGCTGCCAAGTTTGTAATCCAGACAAAAAGGGTAGGGAAATGGGCCATATTTGAACTTCTCCACTTCCTTCATGGTGAATAGGATGAATGTGTGTAAAAACTGCAAGTTAGAGGAGCAACAGATCGATGTTGAAGGTGCAGGGTCTTAACGTTCCACTGACCGCTAATGATCATGGGATTTTTGTTTTTCTTAAAGCTGGTGGGGGAAGGGGTGCCACTAATTACCAACAATTGTGGGATTGTTTTTGGGGTGTAGGAAGGGTTTAAAACACCACTGATTGCCAGTCTGTTGGATTTTTTTTTTACTGTAAAAAAAAAATTAAAGGTAGATGTAGGTAAACCCAAATTTGTGGTCTTTTTCCTCTTTTATATAGTAAAAAAAATATATAGTTATTAAATGGCGCCGAAAGAATGAGAAATGTATTTGGGTACAGTGTTGCATGACTAACTAATTGGCAGGCAGACTGTCTCAGCACTTAAAGAGGACCTGCACTGTATCTGAGCACAGCAAACCAAAAACGCTATTTAATTAATTTTTACTATACAAAGCAAACTCACCCATCCATGTCTCCATGCTTTATGTTAGTGAGAAATCACTTCGAAAAACACCACCTGGCATTTCTGTTTGTGGCCATCTTGAGTAAGGGCAGATGATTCAAAAACTCGTCCTCTCCTCCTAAAGACTCCTGGGAAATATTACATAATTTACCTAGGCATGGAAACCAGGAAATAACTAAAGAAACGTAAAAAAAAAACATTTGAGACAAGTAAATATGATATATTTCCTATGTAATTACTAATTCTAGCAGTATAAGGATTCAAAATAGTAAATGTTGATTGAGAGAGTGAAGTTTCATTTTAAAATGGAAAAATGGCCTGATGATGAATATATGTAAAGGATAATACTTGGGTGGTTAAGTAAGACAGGTTCCACCTGCATATTGCTTAAGAAGATTGTAATCATTGGCACCTAATCTGGAACACCTGGTTTAAATTTCATGGAACTGAAGTGATAAATGTAAGAGGGTTCTCACTTTTTTTTCATGTGATTACTGTATGTGCAATTGTATCAGTTACCTTATTTTTCGCTCCATAAGACTCACCTTACCATAAGATGCACCTAGGTTTTAGAGGAGGAAAACAAGAAAAAAAAAATATTCTGAACCAATGGACTGCAGACATAGTACAGGAAATGACCAGAGATTGCAGATGTACTACAGGAGATGACCAGAGACTGCGGACATAGTACAGGAGATGACCAGAGACTGCAGACACAGTACAGGAGATGACCAGAGACTGCGGACAGTACAGGGAATGACCAAGAGACTGCGGACATACTACAGGTGACCAGAGACTGCGGACATGGTACAGTAGATGACCAGAGACTGCAGACTGCAGACTTACTACAGGAGATGACCAGAGACTGCGCGACATACTACAGGAAATGACCAGAGACTGCGGACATACTACAGGAGATGACCAGAAACTGCAGACATAGTACAGGAAATGACCAGAGAATGCAGATGTACTACAAGAGATGACCAGAGACTGCAGACTTAGTACAGGAAATGACCAGAGACTGTGGACATAGTACAGGAGATGACCAGAGACTGCGGACCTTTGAGGAGCGGGTACCCGAATTTGACAGGTACCAACTCCCACTCCCGCTGCGATCACCTAGGCGATCAGAAGCGGAAGTTGTTCTCCCTCCCCGTAGTCTTCTGGGACACGTGACAGGTCCCAGAAGACTATGGGGCCATTCACAAAGCGCAGCACTTCTCGCACATGTGCAGTGGGCACCCGGCTGTGAAGCCACAAGATGCCGGCACCTGGGAGAGAAGACGGCCGGTGAAACCAGCCGTGGTGAGGACACCACTGGACCGAGGAACAGGTAAGTGGTTGTATTTTAAAAGTCAGCAGCTACAGTTTTTGTAGCTGCTGACTTTTTTTTTTTTTTTTCAGCTGGAACTCCACTTTAAGGAGTAGCTGCTTTGGTCCCTGCCTAGCGCTGCTGCACTGCTGACTCGGACTCCTCCTCTCTAATGCCACAGAAGAGCCGAGTGGCCAGCCCAGTATTCTAACACGGCGGGGCGGGGGGGGGATTCCTGGTCAGTATTTGCTCCATAAGACGTACATACATTTCCCCCCATTTTTTTTGGGGGGGGGGGGGGTCATATGGAGCGAAAAAATACAAATACTGTATTTCAGTAGACACCACGGCATGAAGATCTGATGTCTTGCCTTTTCAAATATATGGAAAAAGATATTTCCATGTGGTGTACACATTTGTTTTGTGGTTGCTGTATATACGTCCATAAATAATTTGTGAGTAAATGTTTTTGTTTATCCTTAACATTACGTTACATTTCTTTTCTTTAGGTAATGAAGGAAGTCCAGGGTGCCCTAGCAACAGCAGCTGCAGATGACAGCAAGCTAGTTCTTTTCAGTGCAGTTGGGAGTGTGTTTTGTTACGGTATTGACTTTGTTTATTTTATTAGACGCTTGACAGATGATCGAAAAAGAGAGAGCACTAAAATGGCTGATGCAATTAGGTATGTTTATTTTTTCATACCGATTTGTACAAAAAATGTGATAACCACTTCCACTCTCGCACCTGTAAATCACCTACAAACCAGAGCAATTTTTACATTTTTGTTATGGGCCTGTTGATTTAACAATAACATTGTCATTCTTTGACCAACCATGTAACTCATATATGCAGCGGCAAAGAGGGTGGGCTTTTAGGCTCACACCACACATATGTGTCCAAGGAAGCTGAGGTTTCTGTACTAATAATATAATGCTTGGGCTGTCTGAGTTCTCAGTCTCTTGTTATAAGTAGCCAGGGGAACTATTCATCCTGCTGATATGAGTTAATGCCCCCCCCCAATGACACCCAACAATGGGGAGGTATTGCTCCACTGACACCAATAATTGGACACTATTCCTCCCACTGACACCAACAATGAGATTCTAGTCCTACAACTGGCACCAGCAATGGTTAGTGTTCCTCCCACTGATACAAATGATAGGTCATTATTCCACCTCTTACTGACCGTAGGCATTGTTCTAGGCCTGAGGCAGTATTTAGTCTCAATAATTGCTGAGGCATTTTGTACTCCCTTGGACCAGTCTGTCCCATTAATGGCTGAGATTTAGTGAACTGTCCCTTTGTTTAGAAGGTTTGGAGACTCCTGCATTAAACCATTATTACCATGAACAAAAGGCAACATAAAATCTCTCTGAGACCTGTGGATAGCAGGGAAACCTGACTGGTTCTAATCATTCCTCATTCTGTCAAAAAAAGTTTTAAAAAAAAGCAGCGGCTGGACATCTTAAAGAAAATATGTCTTGTGGTTTGTGTGTCCAAGACAGGACAGCGCCCACTTTATGCAGCCAAACTCTACCTATTAATAAAATATCCCTTTTGGGATTTTACTGACCTTTTAATTTTTTTCCTTATTTCATGTATTGGGAGTGGGATGGTGTCCACCTCTTGTGAAATATCACTCCTATAGTAATGTCTCTCCTGAAATCATTGCAGTTCATCATTCAGCAAAGTGGTAGTGGGGGGTGGAAGGATGATGGTGTTGCTTCATTGAATTCAGAACTTGCATGCCTGTTGTGACTAAAAAAGTAGTCTATAGTCAGTATAAAATGTAAACAATTGCTTATGTGAATGCCAATGCTTGAATTCCCTTCTTAAAATGGTAGTAAACTTGAGCATGTTAAAAAAAAAAAACCCCTGTAAGGTAAAGGCAATAACGTGTTAGTATGCATCGCATACTTGCACATTATGAATTACCTTAGACCGAAGCCCTCCAGCGGCGCACTGTCACTGCTGACAGGGCCTCCATCTTTACCCTGTCTTCCTTCTGGTTTCACGCACTCCAGGCCACCTGACTGGCCAAGCCACGATGACATCACTCCTGCGCATGCGTGCTGTAGTCACAGGCACAGCTTACAGCTCTGAAAGAACGGTACGGGCATGCCGTTCCTTTAGACCTCCTGCTCCGGAGGTGTCACAGGCTGCATGCTGTGTGAGTATTTCCTAAAGTTGTAGGTAATACTCCGTCTACAGGTAAGCCTTATTGTAGGCTTAACTGTTGGTACAAGTCCAAAAAAGAAGTTTACTACCACTTTACGTGTAGTAATAAGAAAATCGCCAAAAAATATTAAAGCTGCAAACCTATCCCAAATCAGGTGTATAACATAAATAAGTAAAGGAATGCGCTAATAGTATCAAATTACCACAAAGAATATATAAATAATAAATGCAAAATAATGTCCACAAATCTTGTGAAAAGTCCAACCACCATAAAAGTGACAATCAATCCTGAAGTCTTGTATAAACCAAATGACACAGAGAAAAATCCACCACCGAATAAAATAAATAAACTCACCAGATCTATATGCTGATCAAATTATAAATCGGCATATTCGCTATTGCTCTGGGAGCGATGATCTGTAGAGATATCCAAGGTTTGGGAGCAATACACTGCAATCAGCCAATCAGCAAGGATGGAAAAATCTTTTAACTCAGATGGTCATCATCTCTCCATGAATAGTAGCAATACTCGGGGAATCAAGAAAAGATATGATGGTGCATTACGTTTTAAAAACCATAAACTTTATTGCACATCAGATGTAAACTCACAAAAAAGGTGTCTAAGCCGACACCAGCAATGACAGCCTCTGAAACAGCAGGGACGAGCCTCACTCACCGCGGTAACCCAGCTGACAAGATTTGTGGACATTATTTTTTATTTATATATTCTTTGTGGTAATTTGACACTATTAGCGCATTCCTTTACTTTTTTATGTTGTACTACCACTTTAAGCCTAGGGTCACACTTGCCTGCACTCTGCAGCCAAATCATGCTGCTTTTTTTAACGAAATGCGCGGGGCTGCCATTCATTCTGGATGGCACTCCCACGCATTTCAACCCACAGCACGTTTGCGAGTGCGAGTCAAAGAGACCATGCAGTTTCCTTGCAGCCTCGTTTTTAAAAAGGGGCATGCACTTTTTATCTGCGGGAAACTCAGGCACAGCAGCCCATTCATATGCAATAGTGTGAACTGAGCCTAAACTTAACAAGAACAGGTGTTCCCACTGAAAGATTTCCCTGTTTCCTGTGCTAAAGACAACTGTATATTTTTGGCATTCCCATCACTTTCTCTGTTAATGAAAATGTTAATCAGGATAAATTGTAGTGTAAATCTGCTCAGTGGGGACACAGACAGGAATAAAAAGCTGCCATAGGTTATAATTAGAGATGTGCACAATGGAATCTTTTTTATTTTGGATTAATTTGTTAAGTTAATCTTTTTGTCATATTTATTATGTTAGAATATTTCATTTTTTAAATTCATTCATTGAACATTCTGATTTGTTTCGTATATTCGGATTAATTTCACATATTTGTTATTCCAATTCGATTTGTATTCTGGAAGTTTGGATATATTCGTTTCAACTTGTTCGTTATTTCGGGAGATTAGTTATCTATTCTGGGTTGGATGGAGGTGGATCCATCAGAATCTCCAAATCATAACATAACAAAGAACAAATTTAATTTCATATGCATTCATTATGTTATTTCACTTTTATACCTTACTGTAACATGTTTGCTTTTCATATGTAGTGCATTTTTTATAATATGTTAAAAATGTTAATGCAAAAAAAACCCCAATACAGATCTGAATCAGTTGGGATCATTCGTTATGTGGTTATGTTATTTCGAATGCTTTAAACATTACCAAAAGACCCAAACTATCGCATTATATCATCCCAATGAATACAAATTAATTCGTTGTCTTGAAATTATTTCACATTCATTACTGTTGTGATTCTGAGATTTGAACACAAAACGGAATCTCCGAATATTGTTAATTTCATCCGAATTTCAATTTGTAACAAAACAAATTGCTCATGTCTAGTTATAACTCTAACTCCAGAAAAAAAAAAGGTTTTGGAATTAGAAACGTGACATGGAATAAAAATTTGCATCTCTGAATGTAACAGTTGCCTTTTTTTTTTTTAGCTTACTATTTAGTAAATCTAACAGTAACCACATGCATTTTATCTTTATAGGATGTTCGTGAGTACTTTTATTCAGTTTAAGAAACCCATAATTGTTGCTGTAAATGGACCTGCCATTGGACTTGGTGCATCTATATTACCTCTTTGTGATGTTATCTGGGCAAATGAGAAAGCTTGGTTTCAGACACCTTATACTACTTTTGGACAGAGCCCAGATGGCTGTTCGTCACTTTTGTTCCCTAAAATAATGGGTATTGCATCTGTAAGTATATCAGTTCATTTTTTTTTTATATTTTTTAAAATATAGTAACATACAAACTAATTAAAACTGCACACAGCACTTCATAATTAAATGCTAAGTTCACCTTTTTTAAAAAAAAAATTATAATGCACATAATTCTGCAGGTAAAAATTGTGCATTTTTTTTTTTAAATTACAAGGATGCTCACCACGGTGGAAGATGGGACTTGTAGTTCATTCATTCATAGAGCTTTGCACCTGAATGATGTGGCTGTGTGGGTGAAGCCCTGCACAGCCACTCTGTTTTTAAATTGTGATAGTGGGTACAGGGAAAGGATCCCCTGTCTGCTGTTATATTTCGGGATCAGGTGTGAATGTGTAAATACTGATGTAACATGTTAGTCCTCATGCACACTGGGCGTTTTACAGCTGCTGTTTTTGGTTTTTGGCATTTTTTTCTACAGCCAGTAAACTCCCCAGCATGATATCCTATGTGTCCATGCACACATAGGCTTTAATCAGCATTTTTTGGCA